TGTATTTTTACTATCACTGCTTTTGAACTATTCCCCAATCCTCTCTTGCCCTTTCTGAGAACCCATATTGTGGGGATTATATTGAATTTCCAAATGGTTCCCAGGCGGGGGCTGTAGCAGTGAATGCTGGAGGTATGAACAGATGGGACCTCAACTGCGGTGATGGCTCTGTGGCCGCGGCTCCAATGTTATCCAGGGCTTCGGAGACAGGACGCTTGAGTAGTGACCGAGGTTGGGAGAGAACGTGCTCCTGGGACAGATTTCTAAAATGCTCATTGCAATGAACATCTCTCTGCCGGCCAATGGCCACAGCTGTAGCCCTGAGCAAATTCGCTTGAACTTCTGGGCCCTCATCTCTGAAGTGGGAAAGAAAAACATGAGCCTGTGGCACAGGGATTAAGTTTGTGGGTTCTGGTGTCAGATGAATTTGGAGTTCAAGTCCAGGGCCTCCCCATGATACAGAGAGATCTGAGCAGATGACTGGGAAGCAGTAGGGAGGGAGGAGTAGGAGGAGTTTGCCCAGGTGATGGGAAACAGCCTGGGACGGGATTGGCTGAGGTGCTGAATGCTTCCAGAGCGCTTGGAATTATGGGCCAGAAGATTTTAGATAAAAGAAGGGTCCTTGGGCCCTTGGATGTGTTGGTTCTCAGGCGCTCCCTGGCTTCTGCCTTGAGGGTGGCTGGATGGTGGTGCTACAGCTGCCTGCGTTTCCAAACAAGGTATTTTGGGTGGGAAGGAACTCCAGGCCCAGCCTGGGGTCGGGCTGGCCTGGCGGGGGGAAGGGGGCACCATTATTTTTTGGGTGTCCTAGAGGGAACGACCTCTGAGGCAGGAGCCTGCCATTCTTCCAAAATTATGTAGTTTTTGTATTTTAGATTATTTTATTTTGTAAACTAACCCTATAGAAATAAGATAATTAAAACTAAGAGGTGGACTGATAGAACTCAGGTGTTAAGAGTTTAGCCTTAATTGACAGGTTTAAGTGATTAAGCTTTGACTAAAGAGTTAAAGCGTCTAGCCCTATGGATAGGCTTAAGTGACCAGAAGCCTGTGGAAAGCTGTTATTCCAAAATTGTGAAGCTTTGCATGAGACTCCTTTTCTTTATGACCAAACCTTTGCCGCTGGAATTTTGCCCAGAGGGTGGCGGCAGGCGCAGGACCCCTCTTGCTGTTTGGTTACACCCATTTCCTCACTGCTGGTTTTAGGCAGTTGGTCAAGCTTTATACGCTTCGGTTTCTTATCTGCAAAATGGGGACAGTGAGGGGACCCACACCTGCTGGAACTGCTGTGAGCAGGAAATAAAGTCCTGGTTCAATAATGTTTAGCTTTTATCACTTTTATTATGACCTCAAAAGAGATGTAATTTAATATTAACATTTGGATACTTCTTAAATTAGAAGATAGTATTTTCCCTTAAAATAGTGTACATACAAAGATTTTTTGTGAGAAAGGTTTATAAGGAGCCAAAAATGGAACCACTGTTTATTCCTTTTTCCTATTTCTCTTTTTAATTTTTCTGGTTTCTGCCTTTTCATGTTTTTCTGTGAGTGAATTTTAGAATTCTTCTAAAATAAATGTCCCCTACTTAAAAAATATTTAAGTTGTAACCTTATAAAATGCAAAACAGTAGCTTTTCCTGGTTGACAGACTATGTTGACAAGTGTCCTTTTTATTTTTATTTTTTATCCTCACCGAGGACATTTTTTCATGGCTTATAGAGAGAAAGTAAGGGAGATAGAAAAACATCAATGTGACAGAGAAACATCCATGGGCTGCCTCTCACAGGATCTGCGAACTCTCACTTAAGGATGACACTCTAACCAACTGAGCCACACCAGCTAGGGGAAGAAGTGTCTTTTTTAAAATGAGGGTTGTGCCCCTTCAGTGAATGAAATCAATTTGACAGTTAAAAAATAAATGAAAGAGAATAAAAACTGTTAGGGGGCATGGCATGTAGTGAGTATTCATTTGTAATTAAATATGTGTCTGCTGGCTTGAGGAGGAAAATAAATGTATGTCTTTGGTTTGTGGTTAAAAAACAACCTGTGTTCAAAAGCCCTCGTGTTAAGGGCAGTGGATTGGTTGTAGGATATTACCTGCTGCTATTATCTGAGGGCTAAGTTCAAAGAGATACTTTATTCTGATTCTCTGTATTTCAAATGATCTTGATTTGTAGTCATTTTTGTCCTCTGTTCCACTAACTAGGACCTGAGGGGAAGGGGCGGGGGCGGGTGTGTGTGTGTGTGTGTGTGTGTGTGTGTGTGTGTGTAGCGTTTGCCTTGCATGAAAATGCCAGTCTAGAAAAGGGTTTCTCAACCACCACCCTAATGACATTTTGGGTCAAATAATTCTTTCTTGTGGGGGCTGTCTTGTGCATTGTATGATGTTTGGCAGGATCCCTGACTTCCACCTACTCCAAGCCATAACATCCTTCTCCCACTACCAGTTTCTTGCCAAATGTCCCCGAAGGGGTGGGAGTGTGGGGGGTGGGTGCCCCTGGTCTAGAGAAGTACTGGTCTAGGTTACAACGGCCTTGCTCTGCTGTAAAGCTCCTGGCCTCCCCATCCCGAGTCTAGTGCTCCAACCAGGTTCAAAGGAACACCTGTCCAAGTCTGGCCCAGGTCTAGCTGATGAGCTGACATCTGTGCCATCTAAAGTCATCATCAGCCCTGGCCGGGTAGCTCCGTTGGTTAAGAGTGTTATCCCGATACACCAAGGTTGCATGTTCAATCCCCAGTCTGGGCACATACAGGAATCAACCAACGAATGCATAAGTAAGTGGAACAACAAATCAATCTCTCTCTCTCTCATCAATAAATAAATAAATGAAGCTACCACCAGTTACAGAATCAAGATCAGAGGTTACGAGCTGATGTTGGGAGACCTGGGTGCATGACTTGCCCCTGTCAGTGGCTCTGGGAATAAGTCTGGGCAAGTTCTTTATCTCTCTGGCACCTGGTGATACACCTGTCCTAGCCACATCAAAGGGAGCTGGGTGGAGGAGGGATGATTTGATATACGGGAAGCCCTTTCGTGAGTTAAAAGCCCTCTTCAAAGGGAAGTAGTATAATAAGTTCAGGCATGACTCAGGTAGCACATTGGCCTCATTGCCCTGAGCTCTTCTCTCCTAGGGAAAAAGGAAAGTATATGGCGGTACCTAGCAATTGAAGAGGCACGGAAGACTAACCCCTTTAATACAATTTCCTCCTGCAAACCAAGTGAAAACCCAAGCTAAAACTGGCCTTTATGTTGGACTGCATATGCTTGGAATGTGTTCCAGAGGGACACCTCCTCCGGGAGCCAGGGCAGGGCTCTGTCTGGGATGCCCTGGGTAGCCGGTCCAGCTCGGAGGTGGGGAGATTAATGCTATGACCCCGCAACCTCTGTTACAGATGCTTTCAATCAAAAGGCTTTCGGAGTGGCAGGTGACACCTGGAAAAGGGAACGGTGTGCTAGATTCTTGCCTTCTGCTGACAGCGTTTTTATATTCAGACAAGACAGGAACAGTGACCTCAGAATTCGCCCCTTCTCATCTTTGACTTTCCCACCACTTTCAGTCCTTGGCCTGGTTATCTCAGTTTTTATTCTCACTTCCTCTTGAACACCTTACAAGGAGACTAAGGAACAAAGTCTCCCTGACTGGATTGGTTAGAAAATGCAGCCATCACAGCTGCCCTCACTGCTTTCTGAGGAGAGGATTTGTTGACTCCTGACTCCATCGTTCTGGGAGTGAATCTCTGCAGGTGTAATTTACATTTTTCTGTACATTAGTATTTCGACAAGTTCCATGAGGGGAGGAACGAAGTTTCTTTGATTGATTGCTCCACCCCAGCACTCAGTAATTGACACTCAGCAAAAACTTGTTGAATATATGACTATTTAAGGTATGGAAAGAGCTAACTCGGTGGGAGCTACTTTAGGCTGGAAGAGTCGAGGACAGATGTGTGTTAGGGGGAAAAATACTACTTTTCACTGAGCACTTACTAAGGTATGTTCCTGAGCTCCAAGCTAAGCTCTTTATTGCCTAACCTCATGTAACCTTCACAAGAAACTCTGCGTCTTAGGTGTGTGAATGAAATCCCATTTTAAGGATAGGGATGGGAATTAAGTTCTAAAGTTGGCGCAAAAGGCAAAAAACGGCATAATCAAAATGACTAATTCGAACACTCATCCCATGGAGATGCCTTTCATTGCCTACTTACCCGGGAATATACGGCCATTGGGTGAAATGGCAGGGGACTTGGAGACTACCCTCTCGCCCCCAGCGCCCATGTTTGACTTGAATAGTTAACTACGAGGTGACTGCATTTGACTCCACTTTTTAGGGATGAGGAAGCGGGACCATGAAGATGATAAGCGGAGGGACAGGGTACAGGAAGGGACAGCGAAGATGTCCAGGGGTCCTTGTAGGCTGGGGCTGGAGGGCAGGGACCTGGGGCGGGGACGGGGTCGGGGTCGCGATGGGGGCTACTGATTGCTCACAGAGCCACAGGTTAGCAGGTTAGATGCCATTCCGCATCTCCGCCCCATCCTCAGCTCTTCCCCTGCTGGTCACTCACCTGCTTTGAGGGCTCCAGGTTTCTCTACCCAAAGTTACCTCCAGTGGTGCCTGTGTTGCTAGGTTACCCGCCAACCTCGGAAGGCGGGACTTGGAGCCTGATTGATTTTCCTTTTCACCATTCAATTCTGCTCAGTTCCTCCCACTTCGAGGCCTGACCAATCAGAGGCACCATTTTTCTCACTTTCCACCAATTGAAAGATCTGGACTGCCTCTCCATTGGGCTGAGAGAGTAAGGCGGAGAACAGGAGGGTAAGGGGGCGGAGCTTCTTAGTCCTGCCCCTTCCCTAGGAGGCGGACTAGGAGTCTTGCACTAGCAGAGGGCAAAAACTGGGGAAGGACTTGAGGTTTGGCCAATCAGAGCTCACCATGACAGCCTAACTAGCGAATAGGCTGCGGCTAAGGGGAAAAGAGGCAGGGCCGGCGGGGTGAGGGGACAGTAGGCGGTGGATGAGAGAACTGGCGCAGCTGCCGTTGTGGCAGCGGCTGAAGTGGAGGTGGCGGCTGCAACAGCTCCAGGCTCGGGGCTTCGACGGCGGCGCCACCGGCAGGCTGGGCTGCACGGTGCCGAGCCTGGCGCGCGATCCGGGTTGCTGGGGCAGCGTGTAAGAATTTAAGGGGTGCGAGGGATGGCCTGAGGAGAGGGCAGGGGTCAGGGGTCAGAGGGCTCGGAGTAGGAGTAAGGGGTTGCTGCTGGGTACTGGAGTATAGGAAGCGCGGGCAGGGCGGGCCGGAGGAGAAGTCACCGCGCGCTTCTCTCCCTCCAGTCCAAGCCGGGACTTGGCGCCCTTTCTCCCGTCCTCAGCTTTCTGGGACGACCCCCTCGTGGGGCCCAGACCCGGGCTGGGCGCACGTGTTGCTTGAGCCGCGCTCCTCTGCCCTCCCCTCCTTCCTCACTAGCTCTTCGCCTTGGCGCCCTCAGGCGACCCCGCCGAGAGACTCGCGCCGGACAGGGCTGCTCGCGCAGACAGCGTGACGGCTGCTGGCCCTCTCCTGGGACCTGTCCCGGGGGTGACCCTTTCCTCCTGTGCCCTCTGGAGAGCGAGAAGTACAGCCTCGCGGGAGGAGCGCTGGGCTGGGACCCCCAGCCCTGCGCTGCGTGACCCTGGGCAAGTCCCTTCCGCTCCGGACCTCGCTGCTCCCTCCGTGAATGGATGGGCTGGGATGAACTCAGGTCGCAGGACTGGCTCTGGGAGGGGGCATAGGGTTTGGGTTAAGCCCGGCGGCGCCGGGGCGCCCCTGGATTCCGACGCCCTGGGCTGAAGTCTGGGCTCTACCACCTCGCCGTGGTTTACTTACACCAGGCAGGTGAAGCGAACCCTCCAAGCCTCAGTCTCCTCATCTGTGAAGTGGGTGTTTCTCAGCAGCAGCGCTAGTGAGGCTCTGAGCCGCCGATCTCTCTGCTGTGGTGGGTCTCACCTGTGCCTTGTAGGATTTTGAGCGGCAACCCTGGCCTCTACCCCTCTGCTCCGCTGAGTTACAAGAAAAAACGTCTCCATGAAATGCTAGTGTCCCTTGGGAAGGGGGCAAGCTAACCCCGGCTGACAGCCATGAGCTAAGGCAATGCATGCAAGGAAATAGGCACATATTAAACAGTTAAAATAAAACCCACTAGCCACTAATGATAATAATGATAAAATTAGGAAACTTCTTGAGGAGTAGAGGGGGTGAGTAGATTCTCCCACCTTCAAAATAAGTACAGTAGAGAATAGTGAAATGTTTTTAATGGTCAAAACTGAGTGAAAGTTACAAGGAAGTTCATTTACATATCTGCTCTACTTTTGAGTATGTTTGGAAATCTCAGGGGTAAAAGTTTCAAACAAAAAAAAAAAACACAAAATAAATAAAACCTAAATTCTTAAGACAGACAAATGGTCATGTCTCACTTGGGGATTTCCTCTTCTGTGTCCCCGATACTCAGATTTAAAAGCAAAATAAATTCCAAGATCTGGAGGAAATGTAAAAAAAATCTTGGAGGAAGTTTGTTGGGCAGAGAGCTACAGGCTTAGCAGCCAGCGGACGGGTTCTCACTTGTAACTGCCTTGTTTTAAGAAGACACTGACGCCCAAGGGCCTGCTTGGGATTAGTCTGATGATTTGTGAAAGACGTAAATTGCAGGGTTGCCATTCAGCGGGTCAGTCTGGAGGCAAAGTGCGCTGAGCCCGAGAGCCACAGAGGAAGGAACCTGCTGTTGTTTTCAAGTTCAAAGGTCTGCCATCAGATCTGCTGAGTGCTGGCTTTTCTTTTGGTCCTCCCCAGCGGAAATGGGAATGTGTATAAATAGGAACTGTAACAGGCTCTTCTGAGTGTTTTAAATTGGGGACTCAGGATTCAGGCTTTTGCTGGGTGACTGGAAGCCAGAGGATGCTATGGGCAAGTGTAGATGACCTGTCGCACTCACTCTTTACCCGTCATGGGGCTGAGTGCTGCCTAGATACCGGGACGTGGACTTGGGGGAATTGTAGTGCCGAGGCTAGAAGCACGGGGCTGGAGTCAGCCTGCAAAGTCCAAGGCTTGGCTTTCAAGCTGCAGGCTCTTGGGCAAGTTACTTAACCTCTCTGAGCCTAAAGTCTCCCCCGCTATAATGGGGGATACGAATCCTACCTATTACGAAGTTTCAATCAGCATTACTTAAAAATTGCAAGAAGAGTCCCTGGTATGTAGTAAGCACTCATTGAGTATTATCTACTCTTGTTTTAATTGTTGGGGTTTTTTTTTTTTTTAAGTCTTTAAAATCTTTAGAAAACTCTCAAACAAACAAGTACCAAGAGGGGTGAGATAGAACATATTAGTCATAATCTCAATCTCCAGACAGAATTACCATTAACTTCGGTATTGGTCCTTGCAGAGTTTTTCCCTCACTTTTTCACACTATTATATACTGCAATACTCCGTCATTTTAAGGGGTACAGTTCAGTGGTTTTTAGTGTGGTCGCAAGATTAAGCAACCGTCACCACTACCTAACTGCAGAACATTTTCATCAGTAGTGGTTGTGTTTTAACAGTTGTCTTTTTTCTTTTTATTCCCAAATCCTAGAAGATGCCTCAAATGGAGGAGTTTCTGAGAAGCACCTCTGGGCCAGTGGCTTTGAAAGGGAGCTTAAAGAAGAGACTCTTTACAGTCCTGAGCATCACATCCTGAGGACAACAGGAGAGAAGAACATGGCCATGAATTTAGATGACGACGTTCCCCTCATCCTGACCTTGGATGAAGGTGGCAGTGGCCCCCTGGCTCCCTCCAATGGCCTGGGCCAAGAGGAGCTGCCTAGCAGAAGTAAGACGGAGGGGTGGACTGGCGTGGGGGCTGGGGGGCAACTTCAGGGGGTGAGTAGTGGGCTTGGTGGTCTGAGAGTAGACACGTATACGCAAATGCTTGACTCTGTTTGACTCCCTGATTCTGACACAAACTTCTGGGAGACTGGGGGGTCCTAATCCTGCACCCCCAGTTTAGGGATGCTTCCAGGGGCACTCGCCTCCCTCTGCACCTGAGGCGCCCTGGCTTTGCCCCTGGATGCTCAGTGCGGGGTGGGGGGCCCTCTGGCACACCTGCTCCTTGGCGAGCTTCCCTGACCTGTTCCAGGTTAAAAAAAGAAATAGATCTCAACCCTGGCCTCCATCTGTCCCAATCAGAAACTGTTGGCAGGAAGGCAGAGCTGCTTCTCCCCACTGGGGCTCCATCCCTGCATTGCCCAGGACGAGGTGGAAGGGGGCAAACACTTGTCGTGATCCATTGATTTGAGGGTTTGGGGTTTTGCTTTGTCTTCCTCTAAAACATAGCCTAGCACAAAGTGAGCCCAAGAGAGGTGGTGAGCTTTAAATTTTTTAAAGTTTAAGTGTGTTTCTGGCAGAATGAGAGGCCTTAAAAACCTTTCTGGTGCTTGTCCCAAAGCCATTTGCCTCATTTGCTCAGGCCTTGGGTCCAGAAGAGGCTTAAAATAACTTGCCTTTTATGGAGGGTCCTAAGACGTCAGTGACTAACGCTTTAGGGTCTCCTTAGCAAATAGGTGTTTGAGCCACCAGCTCTGTGCCTGAGCCAGGACAGAGGGGTACTGTTCCCCTCCAGGTCACAAGTGAAGATACTTGGGTCCAGGGTCCTGTCTCCCTTGTCCAGAGAGAATACAGCTGGGTCGCAGGGACCTCCGCAGGCTCCCCTTGGGAGTGATGAGGAGAGCGGTGTTTCTGCGGATGGGAGTCCGTGGGAGGCCTGGCTCCCTGCACAAGGGCCTCTCCTTGCTTCGGCATGTTCACGCCATCTAGGGTGGCAGGGCTGGATGGTGCAGGAAGGTTAGAATGCCAACCAGGGCTGAGAAAGCAGTGACTCTGATTTCAGGCATCTTCTTAAATGCCCTAGAGCTTGAAAACGTAGTGTTAGGCTCTTTTTCATCTGTTATCCTAAGTAAGATCCTTTTGCAAGGTAGGCAGTATTACCCCTGCTTTACAGAGGAGAAAGCAGTGAGTCAGAGAGGGTAAGTAACTTGCCTGATGTCACACAGCTGGCAAGTGGCAGAGCAGAGATTTGAACGCACGACTGTCTGAATCCCAAGTTCCTTCCCCCACACTTTTTCCCTTTTATCTTCTCCTGCTTCTTTTCCTCCTTCTCTTTTTTTCTTCATATGCCTTTAACAAGGGAATGGACTGCAAGGGAGGTCCCTTGTTGTGTTAAGAGTGTGGGTCATTCTGGAAAGAGGCTTGAGATTCGAAATTGGAATCCTGAACATTGTGGTGGGTGCTACTTTGAAGTCCGAAGTATCAGAGCTGATGGCGGGGTGTCCAGCTCTCCTGTGGGATCAACATGGGAAGAGCAGCCTGATTCTGTGTCAAGATCAGGTTTTAAACAGAGCTTGGTGAGTGGAAAATATTCCAAAAAAAAAAAATGAAGCTAACCTTGGGTAGGCCGCTGGTGGGACTTCCCTTATCTTGGTGAAATTGGTGGCTTATTTGGGTTTATTTCTTTTCTTTTTAAATTTTATTTTATTTTTGGGGGAAGGGAGGGAGAAACTTTGATGTGTGAGAGATACATCTATCAGTTGCCTCTTGCATGCCCCCAACTGGGGACCTGGCCCGCAACCCAGGCATGTGCCCTGACTGGGAATCAAACTGGCGACCTTTCAGTACAGGCCGGGGCTCAACCCACTGACTCACACCAGCCAGGGTGGGTTTATTTCTTAAGAAAAACAAAATAGCCCTAACCAGTATGGCTCAGTTGGCTGAGCGTTGCCCCACAAAGCAAAAGGTTGTCTGTTTGATTCCTGGTCAGGGCACATGCCTGGGTTGTAGGTCAGCCCAGGCTGAGGGTGTGCGAGAAGCAACCAATCGCTGTTTCTCTCACATATTGATATTTGTTTTTAAAAATTATTTATTTATTTATTTTTAGAGAGAGGGGAAGGGAGGGAGAAAGAGGGAGAGATGCATCAATGTGTGGTTGCCTCTCACTGGGAGCCTGGCCCACAACGCAGACATGTGCTCCAATTGGGAACTGAACCGGCGACCCTTCGGTTCACAGGCTGGCACTCAGTCTCCTGAGCCATATCAACCAGGGCTCGATATTTCCCTCCCTCTCTCCCTCCCTTGTCCTCTCTCTAAAAATAAATAAATAAGATCTTCTAAAAAAAGGGAAACAAAATATAAAACTGCACAGTGCGTTAGTGCCCCAGTTTGGTCTCACCCTCTTACTGGGACATTTGCTAAAAACCTCCAGGAATGAGTGGGTGTAATGCACCAAGCCTGGCTGGGAAAACAGCGGGGCCCGCTGAGGAAGGAAGAGATGGCAGAGGAGGCCTGCCCTTGTACAGGCCTTTGTTATTTCGTGCTCGGATTTTGGCATTGACCTTCTCTCCCATGTCCCCCTTCCCTGTTGTCTGAGCATTCTGTCTAAAACACAAATACGACCTGGTCATTTCCCCAACTTGAAGCTCCCCAGAAGCTTCCTGTCCCCTACAGGATGGAGGCCAGACTCCTGTGTTCCTGCACCTTCTGACCTGACCTGTCCCATTTCCTGCCTTAGCCCACAATGTCACACTGCTTCTAGTTCTGTGATCGCCCGTGCTTTCTTAAACCTCTCCGCCTGGCTGGTAACTCGGTGTGGAATGCCTTTCCCAGCCTCTTACTTGTTCCTGAGCTTCAGTTCTGTCTTGAAAATCCTGCTGGTGATAATCCCATCCTTTGAACCTTCCCCCTCTGACAGGGCTAATGACTGCCCTTTTCTGCTTTGATATCTTGATTAGGCTTCCATTATTACAAGTAGCCTACTGTGTGGTAATTACTTATTTAGCCATCTGATCACCTTCGGGCCTGAGTTCCATTCATCTTGGTTATCACCCAGCTCGGTGATACATTCAACAAGTCTCGGTGAAAATAAATCTAGGTGGGTTTCTGGAGCCGTGTATCTCCCGGGAGTGGCTGTTGTCTGAGGGTCCTAGTCAGAGGCGGGCAGCGCCCCTCCTGCCTCTTCTCCTGGCCCGTGGTTTGAGTCTCAGTCTCCCAACAGAGCTGCTTGTCCTAGAAGCGGCCCTCATCGCCCCCAGCCTGTGGCTGGCGTAACTCGTTGGGTAGTAAGGAGGTGGCCCCATGCAGGCAGAAGCCTTCAGCAGGGCTGGCGCTGCCTGGGCACCAGGCGCTGGGAACTAAGCAGCTTTCTAAGGGCGAGAGCCTTGATCCAGCCTGGCCCCCGCCTTAACCCAGCAGCTGTCACCAGTGCCGCCGCCTCTGGCTCCGTACCGACTTGTTCCTTGTCTTACTTGGGCTGCCGTGACAGAACGCCGCAGACTGGGGGGGTTGAACAACAGAAAGTTACCATCTCCCCGCTCTGGAGGCTGGAGGTCTAAGATCGGGGGTCAGCGGGTATGGCTTCTTCTAAGGCCTCTCTCCTTGGCTTGCAGAGGGCCACCTTCTCACTGTGTCCTCACACGTTCGCCCCTTGGTCCGTGTGCCCGTGTCTTATATCTTTTCTTACAGGGACACCAGTCAGATTGGATCAGGGCTCATATATATGACCTCATTTCACCTTGATTACCTCTGTAAAGGCCCTGTTTCCAAGTAGAGCCATATCCTGAGGTCCTAGGGGTTAGGGTTTCAACATAGGAATTGCAGGAAGACGTGATTCAGCCCATAACACTCCCGCCCTTTATTCAGATGCAGGTACCTGGGAATCTGGCTGCACTGCCCGTGACCTTTGATTCTATCTAGGGATGACGTATGATGGGGCATTATCCCTGACGGAAACGGGAGGGTTTGGGATATATTTTTTCCCTTATGTGGACAAGGATGGATTTTTCCAAGACTCAAACATCTCCGGGCTATAATGGTGGCTGCCCAAATGCTAATGAGTGACTCATAGGCAGGAGACGCCAGGTTGATAAAGGAGGCAGGTATGAGGAGAGGTATTTAAAGCCTGCAATTAGGAATAACCTTGAACATAGTTCAGCGGGGCTGGCCTTTTGACAGTGCAGTTTAGAGATGGCCCGTAGGTTGGGCGTCAGGCTGTGGTCTAGATGGCCACTAGACCCAGTCTGAGTGTTGTGGGCAATGCAAGAGATTTTACGAGGGAATTCGGGTCACACTCAACTTTTGCCTTTTCGTTGCCCTTAAACTCAACAGCTGCCTAAGATGGGCCTGCACTTTGTGCCCTCTTCTGGGTGAAAAAGGGTTCGGGGACCAGGGAGGTGGCAGAGGCCTGACCAGGGCACTCAGTCTCATGGGCTACCTTGATGCTGGTAGTTCATGGTTAGCAGGTGACAAGCCACGCCTGGATAAGCTTTAAGGTAGTGGAGCAGAAGAGGACATCTCCCTCCTTCATCCTGATGTCTGGTATGCCAGCGGCAGTTACCTGGACCCCGGGGTGGTGTGTAGCAATGCGGAAAGTCACTGTCCCTTTGCAGGCGGACCAGCACGTGGCGCTCGGGCTCCCCTTCCAGAGTGTCCGTGCAGCCCCGGGCACCAGGCGCACCTGAGGGGCGCCAGCGCTCCGGGCCAAGGGCAGATGCAGCCAGGGCGAGCTGGAGAGAGCGGTGGGGCGCGTGTCCCAGGATGACCCACCCCCAGGTGGGCTCTGTCACATAAATCTGTGCCTGTGCTTCTTTCCCTGACCCAGTGTCCCCAGCGTACTTGCCTAAGAGTTAAGCCTGAGAGACTTGCATAGCTTTGGTCGCTTGCGATATCCTGGGTGGTAGAGTGGCCGGGCCTGTGGGCACTGGAGTCAAGCGCCAGGCCTCCCACCCTAGATAAGCCTGGGGCGTGGCTTCTCCAAGCCTTAGCCTCCTGGTCCGTGCAGCGGGA